GGGATTGAACCCGTTGGCAACCTTGATGTATTAGGACGATGCTCTAACCAACTGAGCTACCTGGACAGGGCTGCCATACATATTTTTGATGGCAAATATCTTTAATATATGAGAACTTTTACAAATCAAAAAGGAAAATATGAGTAGTTAAAATATTTTAAACTTATCAAAGGATATAAACAAGTGTTTCATAAAAAATATCCAAAAATTTCTTAAAATTTTAGTGTCACTAGTTATTAAATACACAAATATTAAAACAAGATATTTGGAGAGGATAATCTGGAAAAAAATTTTTACATTTTATTTTGAAAATTTCCAAACATATAAGAAAGTGGAGATAATAATAATAAACTTCTATATATACATCAAAAATGATCACTTACGGCCAACCTTGTTTCTTACACACCCCGTCTATTCCTGCCCCCATAGATGAGCTGGAAGTGACTCTTGGATGTCACATCATCTCATCTATAAATATTTCAGTGCCTATTTCTATAAGACAAGCCCTATCTTCATAGCATAACTGCAGTCCCGCCATCATTCCTAAAAAATTAATCATTTCATCAAACATCCAGTCAATGGTCAAATTCCCTGATTGTCTGATAACTGTTTTTGTAAGTGGTTTGTTTGAATCAGGATCCAAACAAGATTCATTCAGTGTATTTGGTTGATATGCTTCTTACGTCATTTTAAGCCCTTTAAAAGGGCCCTTTCTACAAAACAGATGTTCCCTCTGTGTGGCAGGATGAGAACGTCCCAGAGAAGTTCGATTAAGGAACCACTGGAGACACAATGGGAGATGCTTCTAGAATGCAATTTTTTTTTCTTATTTCAAATTATTCTCTCCTCTTCTGAATCACTTTTTAAATTTATTTTTTAAAATATTAAATCTGAATTTTTTATTTTTTGGTATTTTCCAATTGTTACAGAGAAAAAAACAATCATCACCCAAGACTCTACCGGATCAATTATTACTTTACTTGAGAGACTAAGAATAAAGGTAAAAGACTGTGAGTCACTAAATCAACAGTCAAAGAGATGTGAGTTTCAGTAGGGCCTAATTATGAACCAAATTAAACCACTAAACAGCTACATATAGTTATTTACAGTCCCACAGTGTCTGAGTTATTTTTTTCTTATGACGACAACTTCAACAATTTTCCCGAAACATCAAAGATTAAATTTTTTTAAAGTTTGGTTTGGAGCCCCTACTTCGTGGTGCTCTAAGCAGGCACTTAGCTGGCCAGCTGTGTAATCACTCCGGCTTCCTTAACAAGATGCACCGTGTTTCATAAAGCAATTCTCCTTCTGGGCCTTAGTCTCCCATTTGCCAAACAGGATGGATACATTCTACTTTCTGCCAACGAAGAATTGATCCCGTACAGATGGAACACCCATATCACCACGGAAGTTTAATGAATACTGTGCCATAACACTGGTGATAGGAGACTCAGGGTCATCAGGTGTGAATCCGTTTGAGCTGTTTTAAAGACACATTCTAAATAAATGTTAGAAAATATTATCAATGACGACTTTGTGCTCACTGGGGAAACCTGGGCAAGAGCAATAACCCACTTGCCTGGGGTTCCCACACAAAGAGAACCCCATTCACCTGCTTTGTTTACTGCCCTACTGTATCCGCAATTATGGAGTCTCTGGTTTTCAATAGCAACTTCAAAACTTTGCTTTTTTGAATGGGACAGAGTGTATTTCAAAAAGGAGTTAATGAACAGAACAGAATTTCTATGCTTTCTAAAGCAGGTAGTATCTCTTTATGGCATGAAAAAATCCACAGAAGAGAAAAAAAATAAATGATTCAGGAATTATTTAATATTTAGGACTTCAAAAGATTAAATACAGGGCAAATACTTAATATTAGTGAATATATAATAAAAATTATATAATCACTTGTGTTTCATATATTGCATATGGCATATTGGTATTTAGTATGTCAAGAATTACCACAAAACCTCATACTCTGACTAGGTAATGCGAGCTTCCAGAAATGCATTCCTCATTTGATCTTCACCAAAAGGCCAAGAAGTGATCTGATAATGCATCCTAATATAATCAGTAAGTTAGATGTACATGTACGCATGTTTGCTACAACTCTTAATAACAAAAATGCATTTTATATTGATACAAACTAATGTTTTATATTGAACTATAATAAACTTTTATGATTATCTGTTTAGAAATAATGACACAGCTTAAATATTTTATAGTAGGAGAAGGATGAATTAAGGTACATTTGTACAATGCAATGGTATGTATCTATGAAAAATTATATTTAATTACATAGCAACACAGAAAATGCTGATAATAAAAAGAGAAAGAGGAAAAGCAAATTACCAAACTATATTTTTGCTATATATGTAACTATGTAGAGCTACCCATGTCAAGGAAAAGGATGGATAAGCAATTTTGGAATACTAAACATTTGATTTATGGGTAGGGAGCCATTGGACAGGTTATTTTTGTGTGTTATAATATGAAATTACAGATCTATGAGTAAATGGTGAGTCAGTTGGCTTGACTTATTTCAACACTAAAATACATAATGAAGTTACACAATGAAGTTAGGTATTCATCATGCATATTCACTTAGGTCACAAAATGGTACCTGCAATGCTTCTGCACTTATGTACAATGTGTACGTACTTTTCCTGTATTACCAACTCAAACTTAACAGTGGTTACTTCTGAGTGACAAAGTTATAAGCCTTCATTCTTTTAAAAGTTTCTAATACTTTGAAAAATGTCTACATGTACATATATTAACTTTATAATTAGCAAAATATTTTAAAATAATACCTTTAAAACAAAAGAACACGTCATAAATGCACTCCTTCAAAATATTTTAAATTTGAGGCTGTGGAAAGGCACTCTGTGTTTCTGGCAAGGAAAGCTCCGAATCACAAAGCCATCCATCCTCCTAAAGTTAGTCCATAAATGGAATGTAAAAGGGGATCCTAGACAAATTAATCCCAAAGTGAGCAATAGGTAAAACTAGGCAGGTAAATTCTGAAAAGGATTACTAGATGTTAAAAATCTTTTAAGTCTATAGTAATTAAAACTGCATAACAGCAATGGATAAACACAAAGGTAGATCAAAAATAAAAAGGGAAAAAGTCCACAAATAGGCTAAAGAACATATAAGAGTGTGATATTTTTATAAGGTTGACATTTCAAATCAATAGAGAAAAGACATCTTGCTTACTAAATGTTATAGAAAGAACTGGGTAGTTGTATGAGGGGAAAAAGTTGGCTTTATACCTCACACTTTATATTAAATTCCAAAGAATCAAGATTTAATTGTGAATAGTGAAACCCTAAAATTAGTTTCTTGTAGGGAAGGCCTTCCGTCATGATATTATATGCAGAAGTTATAAGATCAAATATTAATATACTTGATTACATAAAAAAGTCAGAACTAAAAAATTAGAAGCGAAGTCAAAAGATAAGGAGATCTGCCCAGCCAGTGTTGCTCAGTGGTTAATTTTTGAGCATCAACCTATGAACTAGGAGGTCACGGTTGGATTTCCGGTCAGGGCACATGCCCGGGTTGCAGGCTCAATGCCCAGTGTGGGGTGTGCAGGAGGAAGCTGATCAATGATTCTCTCTCATCATTTATGCTTCTATCTCTTTCTCCCTCTCCCTTTCTCTCTGAAATCAATTTAAAAAAATACATATATGTATATGACAAGGAGATTTAACCAAACCACTATGCTGTACACCTAAAACTAATACAAAATAATACTGAATGTAAACTATGATTAAAGAATAAAATTTTAAAAAACAAAGGAGAAATTATGGGAAACATTCAACTCATTTCACAGACATGGCCAACATCCAACAGAAAATGTACACAAAATATTTGACCACAGTTCATAGAAAACAAAACACAAACAGCTACTAAACAGATGAAAAAATGATAAACTTCATACAAGATAAAAAAAAAAATCCCTATTCCAAGAAAATATTTTCCACCTACCAGATTGGCAAAAATTAAAAAGACTGGTAATATACAATTTGGTGGCAAGGTGCAGGTGACCGACCAGGCATGTATGTTGCTGGTGGGATTGTAAATTGGTATAATCTCTATGGAAGTCAGTTTAGAAATAATTTTGGAAATTGCAACTATATAGGTTTGACAGAGCAATTTTACTTTGGGAATTTTTCTCATGTGGATATATTTATATATTTGCAAAATAACTGATTTTTAAGATTCCTAGTTGCTGCATCAATTAAATGACCGCCAACAGGCTCTGGTGGCATGTATCCAGTGCAGACATACCACAACATGTCTGCAGCTCAAAGTAAAGAGGGGCTCTCTATGTTCTGAAATGGAATAGTTTTAAAGATCTCGTAAGTGAAAAAAGCAAGGGAAACAGAGTATTACACGCTGCCATTCATAGAATAAGAAAGTGTGTGTGGGGAGAAATGTGTGTTGAGGTATTGCTGTGCACCCGTGAGGAGCTGCTGGAAAGGCAGCAGGAACCTGGACGCTAACATCGCCTGCCTCTGCAGAGCGGCGCTGGTAAGCTGGGAGGCAGGGGTCCATGGGGGATACTTCATGATAAAGCTTTTTGTACCTTTGGAATTTCATATCTTGGGGTTAGATTAACTATTCATGAAATAAGTTTAATTTTAAAATTATTTTTTAAAATTAAGATGATAAAAAATGAAGCAATAATTACAAGTTATTGTGAAAAAATCAATCAGAATGTGATTAGGTAGATGTTAGGATGTGATACTGTTATGGTTCCCTCTCTCCCCCACCCCCTGTTTTTCATAGCCGTTGTTATCATTATGTAAATAATGGTATTCCTCATGAGGGAGAAAATAAGAATGACCCAAAGGCTAATAACCCATGAAATCTGAATTATTTCCCTTGTGAGGATAAGTATCTACATTGACCAAGTCTCACTTTGGTACCAAAAGTAAATATTGGAAAGGAGTTACTCCTCCCCTCCTGGCAATTAAAGATCAAACCCTTACCCATCAGATCCTGGCCTGGAGGAAGCATTATCGGACGAGTTAGAAGAGGTGGAAATCACAGAGGACGTCACCGAGGTGATGGACAATCTCCGCAGCGTAGACGACATGATGTAGGGCAGCACAATGGACCCCGTGCGGCTCTGCTTCCTCTCGGTCAGGTTGGGTGGCTGGAGAACACATGCCCCCCCTGGTTAGCTGGCCCAGAACTCAGCCCATATGAAGGAGTGCAGGGCCCCCCCGTTTGCTTGTGGCAACTGCCCAACTGTATTGGCTGGCACCCCATTCTGATTGGTTGGTGACTGCGCTGCCTCAGTTGTTAAATAATGAAGCACTTATATTCTTATTTATAAACACAACTTATGTTAAACCTACTTTGTTTCTAAGACTAGAAAAAATACACCGTAATTTGCTGTCAGCCACATGAGAGAGAAATAACCAATATGTTCGCCCACCAATACAGCAAAATCCTCTGTCTGCTTTTCCAGATTTGCTTCTTTCAGGCATTAAAAAAAAGTGGAGTATTATAAACATCATGCAGCCAAAGAGTAAGTTGGGATCATAGTACTGGTCTAGTGTTGTCTCATTGGTCATAATTTACCACCGGCCAGCCTCCAAATTCCCATACAAAAAAAAAAAAAAAAGAAAGAAAAGGAAAGGAATATTGGCCTAATAGGAAAGTTTCAGACTGAAACTGCAGACCTGAATCTCAACCTGGCGAATCTCAGGGAGTAAGGGAACACTGACCTACCTTCATGAGAAATTTCTCCAGTGGGACATTGAACCCTACATGCCACCACTTCAAATTTACATGCTAATGTTGGCCTGGGTCTAATCGAAACCAAACTCATGAGGTGAAAGTCACAGTCTCTGCCTGCCATCTAGGAATTTGTGTGGAAGACAAATTTTCCTAGGAGAAAACTCCTAGCTGGTGGTAGGTTAGGAGGCAAATTTCAGGAATTCATGATTGAACACTCAGATGACGGAAAGAGATGATCAAACAGACTCTCTGGAGAGAAAGGTAGTGGAGATGGAGGTATGGGAAGAGAAGAGAGAAGTGCAGAAAAGAATCTAGAGCTTGATTTGAGGAAGAAAATCTGAAAATTGGAGGTTCCGGAATAAGGCAGTTAAATAGAGCAGGTGAACTCACATTAAGAAGAGCAGGTAAATGAAGGTGGGACCAAGCAAACAATCGACTGCTGAAAAGGTTAGCACATGCACCCCCCAGCCCAACTTCTCAAGAGGAAAAACAGAAATTTGTAGCTGTGAGAAATGTGTTAGAATGGTCAAAAATTATGAAATCAACTACATGCATTGTAAATGTCCTTCACAATTCTTTCTCACTTCAAAGGTGTCAAGAGTGAAAACTTATCAAAATAAAAATATATTAGAAAAAACTGTAAGAATTGGACTAAGTCAGGACAGGAACAACCAGTTTCTGGGATCAGGGGCACCTCAACTTCTAACAGAGTCATTCTCAAAGCGCCGGCCCTGCACCAGCAGCATCAGCACCACCTGGGAGCATGTTAACAATGGAAATTCTCGGGCCCAGCCCAGAGCGATTGAATCAGAAACCCTAGGGATGTGGCCCAGCAACTTGTGTTTTCACAAACCTTCCAGAAGGTTATGAGTGTTGTTCAAGTTGGAGAAGCCCTTGGTAGCAGGAGGATGGTAGAAAGTCATCAACAGTAGACCATGGCTTCTCTGACATTCCACCCCCGCATCACCCGCCCCATATTTTCATGCCACCTACGCTACTTTGACTCATTTGGCATCTGAAAAACCAGTCAATACTATAAAAGGTAAGAGAGAATAGAGAAAGCTTAAAGGCTACTTAAACAAAGCCTACCAGTGTGATAACCCCATAGAGCTTTTCCACTTTCTCCTTGAGTTCCCGGAAGCAAGAGGACAAACGGTTGTGCAGCGGCTTGAGCTGCTCCGTCAGCTTCTCCCCATGGATGCGGATCCCCTCTGTCAGCAGGGGCATCTGGAAAAAGGGCATGGAAAGACTGCAATGTGGTTTTGGATGAGGGATCATTCAGATTTGGGGAAAGACGGGGGCTGGGGATGGACAGGTAAACAGGCAGACACAGCACATATCAAATGAGAAAGCTACTTGTCAGTGCAATGCTTGGGAGCTGAACGCCTTGAGTCAAAGAAAGCAGAGAAATGCATGCACCATGGACACAGGCAAGCCCTAAATGGCGGAGGGCTGCCAGACAAGGCAAACCCATCTGAGCCCAGGCCTTTCTGTGGATGAGCAACGATAGGCTTAAGCCTTTGATGGCATGGATGGCTGCACTCTCTCCCACTGTTCACTGAAGGAGTGAGAAAGAGAAAGACAAGCCAACGTCTCTCAGGTGACACAGGTCTAGAGTCTCATCTCTAAAAAGGCCCCTCTTAACACTGTGCAGTCTAATGGATGCTATTCCTAGGCCGCTTTGCCAAACAAAGGGATAGGTTGTGATTCCATGGTGCTTTTTTAAAAAAGGGAAAGTAACCCTAAAAGTGAGCCGTAGATTTGAGCCCTAGAGAAGATGTTACACTCATGCACTACAGCCGCCCACGGAGGGCAGTGGGAGCTGTCCAGCCACATACCACCCGTAGGGCATACCTGTAACGCTATCAGTCTCTTCAGCAGCTCGATCTTCTCCTGGTCTTCAGGATGCTCCTGCAAGTACTTTTCTGTAAAAAAAGCCTAAAAGCAGAGCACATGGGAGAGTTAATGAGAACACATACCTATCTGTGTATTTGGCCCTAAAGGAGCGGAGGGAAGCCTGGGAGGCTGAAACATGCCTCTGTCCTATGTCATAAACCAGGAACGACTAAGTAACAGCACAGCCCGCATCCATAGTGAACAATTCAAAAAAGCAGGTGCTATTTTGTGGTCCTTCTGTAATCATGCAGTTTCTACCAAGAGCACATTCTTAACAATAAACACACACACACACACACACACACACACACACACACACACACACACCAATCAAGTAATCAGGAGCAGAGAAGAATGTCATTCCTTTTTTTTTTTTTTGGGGGTGGGGGGAGGGCGGGATAGAAGAAGGAGGAAGGGAAAGGCACCAGCTTGCTCCTGGAGGGAGAGCTAGAATGTCATTCCTTAAAATAACTATTCCAAAAAACTAAGAAAAGGCCAAATGACCATATCAAAAAGTTATGTGTCAGATTAAGTACACAGGTATTATAAAGAAGAGAGCAAAAAATTAACAGACTGGAGATGTGGCTGATGGATTTTCTGCTCTACCACGTGATACAGGCTGTACTATAATTTTTTCCTATATTAAGTGAAGATTAATACCTGTATTTTATTACTAACCACCTATCCAAAAAGCTATTTTGAGGACAATATGAGACAAAGATGGAAAATGTTTTGAAAATGTTAAATGCATTTATTATATATCAAAATTACATCACCTATAACATAATCAATGCAGGAGCTGCCCCCTGGTGGTCAGTGTGCTCCCATAGCCAACCTCCCGCGGTCGGCCAACCTCCCACGGTCCCTCACCCTGGCTGGCTGCCCCGACCAGCCCCAATTGGGACTGGGCGAGATGGCCCTGATTGGCCCTGATCACCAGTGAGGCCGAGGGACCCCACCCGTGTACAAATTCGTGCACCGGGCCTCTAGTATAATATAATGCAACTAAATTCCCAAAGCACCTGAGTCAGAGAACATCAGAGTGCCCTGAACTTAATTTTTCTAGCAGAAAGGCTGGTGAATTACAGCAAACAGCTCCTGGGTTCTTATGAGGCCATGGTTAACCTGCCTTAAAACAGGTCACTTGTGTCAGGTAGGTAATAATGGGTTCCCTGACTGATTGCAATAGATCATGGTGATCAATGAGAGTTTAACTTCTTAATTTTAGAAATGTACAAAGCTTTACACACTAATTAAAAGTATAAACTAGTATTTTAAGCCAAAGTTCCTGAAACACTCTATATCCTTCCTTTGCTTTTTTTTTCATTTAAATTAGAGACAGTAACATTGGGGAAAACTTCATATGAAGTTATAAAATATTCACGGATGTTGGCATATATGAATCTGGTTTTTAGGGGCATTCTGAAATATTAATACTTGGAAAAACACATCAAAATTACTATCAGATAGCTAACAGCGGGCCTCTAGTATAATATAATGCAACTAAATTCCCAAAGCACCTGAGTCAGAGAACATCAGAGTGCCCTGAACTTAATTTTTCTAGCATAAAGGCTGGTGAATTACAGCAAACAGCTCCTGGGTTCTTATGAGGCCATGGTTAACCTGCCTTAAAACAGGTCACCTGTGTCAGGTAGGTAATAATGGGTTCCCTGACTGATTGCAATAGATCATGGTGATCAATGAGAGTTTAACTTCTTAAGTTTAGAAATGTACAAAGCTTTACACACTAATTAAAAGTATAAACTAGTATTTTAAGCCAAAGTTCCTGAAACACTCTATATCCTTCCTTTGCTTTTTTTTCATTTAAATTAGAGACAGTAACATTGGGAAAAACTTCATATGAAGTTATAAAATATTCACGGATACTGGCATATATGAATCTGGTTTTTAGGGGCATTCTGAAATATTAACACTTGGAAAAACACATCAAAATTACTATCAGATAGCTAACAGGAAACATACTCACTGAAATTATCCTATATAATAAAAGGCTAATATGCACATAGACCGAACAGCAGAACAACTGAACAACTGGACGCTATGATGTGTGCTGACCACCAGGGGGTGTGTGCGGAACATGGCAGTGTCGGCAGTAGGCGGCAGAGCGGGGAACATGGTGGGTGTCAGCCGCAGCGGGATGGTGGAGCAGGTGAGTGGGGGCGCCAGACCAAGGCGGGGTGCTGGTGGCTGTCATCAGGGCGAACCTCTGGTGGTTTCTGAAAATTCTTTGCCCTGCGCGCAGCGGTCCCGCCTGGTGCTTGCATCTGCTGCCAGCGCTGACCCCACTCACACCCGCTGCGGGTGCCCGGCACCAGCCCCGATTGCTCGGCACCTTCAGCGGGTACAAACAGCAGCTGGCAGCCCCCATCACCCCGCAGGGCTTCTCCACCTCCCCCTGCTCCTGAGTGGCAATTGGGGCAGTCGCCACTGCTCGCACCCACTGCTGGCACAGGCCCCAATTGCTCTGTGCCATCAGGTGCGAGCGGGGTAGGCACTGTCAGTGTGTGGGAGCAGCAGTGGCAGGAGTGGGGCTGCAGTGGGAGGGGCCAGGCGGGGGCACGGAGGATGGGCCAAGACCTGCCCCTGTGCCCACCACAGCCTCGCAGCCCACAGTTCCTTTCAAGGGGCATGAATTCATGCACTGGGCCCCTAGTTATAGTATAAAAAGGATCGTATTTTGGATCCCAGTTTTTTATTGAATTCCACTGTAACACTAGAAATTATTACTGAAACATAACAAGGGCAAGCTGGATTTTACTGCTGGTGGTGAGAATCAGCCCACTTAACGTCCACTGGCCCTTCCCATCCATCTTCCCCCGACCACCCGTCAATCTCCAGGACAGTGCACAGGGCGGTACTAGCCAAATGTTTATTTTCAAGAAGAGGATTCCAAAATTATTTAGCCACTAAAAATGTACCTAACAATTAGTTGACCCTTGAACAACGTGGGGGTTAGGGACACTGAACCCCACAGTAGAAAATCCCTGGAAATTTTTTATTCTACAGTGTGCCCTTCATGTCCATAGATTTAACCAACTGCAGGTGGAAAACAGTATTTTCGAGCTGTATCTGGGAATGTGAAAGTACTGCTTTCTATTCGTAGTTGACTGAATTCACGGGTGGGAAAGCCAGGGATATGAAGGGCCAACTATACTTAATGAAAATGTCCAGGTGGAAGTGGACCTGCACAGTTCAAACCTGTGCTAGTCAAGGGTCAACTGGATCCTTAACTGGACTTTACTTACTGGATGCATCCCCTCCGTTGCAGATGGTGCCACACCAACCCTATGCAATGGAGCACAGGGGAGCGCTCCTTTCCTGTGTCCCCGGGGAGCAGATACAACACTTAGTTGACCTAATTTAGTTGTAGAGCCTGGCCAGCATTTGTCCACGCATCCTCTGGCCCATCAAGTGGGGGTGGGATTCCTAGAGGCTAATTCTAAACCAAGCGTGGCTCTGCCTCCCCCACACGCTGCTCCACTCCCAGAGCGTCCTCAGTGGTCAGCCCACCTGCACCCTTACACCTCCCAGGGGAGTTGGAGGGGGAGAGAATAGCAGGTGAAGCAACTGGATATGGTATGTCTGACTGATCTTTCAGTGACTCTTCTCCAGGCAGTAGCCTAACCCAGCTGGGTTGCTGAAGGTCTCCAGGAGCTGTGAGGTTGGGGACAAGCTTTTCATTAATTTCACTTGGCTATTCATATAAAAAGGGGGAATGAAAGTCTCTCAGAGAAGTGGTAAGAAACGAATTCATCAGCTGCACAATGCCACAGAGAGGCATGGAGACACCCAGATCTTTGAGTCCTATGGGGTCCCGGGAACTCAGCCTACCTTCTCTATTGTTTTCTTTTTTTGTTAACCCTCACCCATGGATATATTTTCTATTGATTTTTAGAGAGAGTAGAAGAGAGGGAGAAAAGGGAGAGAAAGAGAGAGAGAGGGGGATTGGTTACCTCCTGCACATGCTCCTGCAACCCAGGTATGTACCCTTGACTAGTAATTGAACCCAAGACCCTATGGTATGTGGGCTGACACAGTAACTACTGGGCAACACTGGCCAGGGCGACCCAGCCCACCTTTTCATAGTTGGAGTATCCCCCCATGACGGCCGGATCTACGATGCCATTGAGCAGCATGGAGAGAGGATGCACAGAGAGGGACCGGTCCCAGGCATGCTGCTGAACACAGTTGCTGATCTTCTCATTGGTGAGTTCCATGGTTTCGATGGCATTCTCCAGAGGACTGATTTCCTCCTGTGACAGAGAGCATGGGAGGGGAAGGGCACTTCGTGAGCTCCACAGCAGAGACTGGAAAAAGCCCAAGTATTCCCCTAATAAGGTATAAAATTCCCACCAACCAAAGAGTGAGCTTTTGCTGGTCAAGGTTATGTTTCTTAGGATACCGTACTCATTTGAAATGGTGTTATAAGTTGCAAAAATAAGCTTTTAAAAGTTTCCTTTGAAAGTATAAGGGTGGCTTAAATATCGGAGCTATAGAATGATTATTTTGGGGGGCAAAGCATCTACAGAAATTCTGAGAAGAAAAAAGTTGGAGCTATAATAATGATTGTTTCTTAGGCAAAGCTTCCTTAGAAATTTTTGAGAAAATCAATGACAACAGAGTAACAGGATATCTGATCCAGGACAGAAGCACCACCACAAATGTTCACTGCTTCTCCCATGAGGAAAGGTAAAGGACTTTAACAGCCAGACATTCAGACTATACACAAGTCACCTTAGTATGGGTTCTATGGTTAAGAGAAGTCAGAAACAGTAGGATGCATTAGGCTATTCGGGCTGAATTTTGGATGAAAATAAGATGTAATATAGATTCAGAGAGAGACCTTCTTGTAGAAATGTCTTCAAAACCAGGTTTTAAGAAAAACTGTCTCCTTCCTCATTTTATCCATTATCATGGGTAATTACCCCCTAATCTTCTCCAGACTTGATTCTAAGAGTCTCTGTCTAAAAATCATATTCATCCTTAAAGAATAATGATATACACCAGTGGAATGAGACATGCAAACCCCAGTTTAGATTTGTATAAGACATAGTTCTTGACTGCTTACTTATGTACCACAGTAACAAAGTGACTAAGATATAATTCATGGCTGGGAGGAACTTATGATTTCAGTGGGGTCTCAAGTCGCATGAACATGGTAAGCAGCTCATTAGGAAGAAGTGCAGGAGGCGATGGGCAAAGAGAAAGAACCTCTAAGCCAGATTGGGAGTTTCAGAGATGGCTTCCCGGGGAAGCTGGTGCCGATATGGAATCTGAATGGGAGTGAGTTAGGTTGCGAAGTGGCAAGAAGGCATTCTGGGTAGAGAAAATGCCTCAATTTCACAGATAGTTGAAATAGCATGGACTGAGCAGTTTAGTTCCAGTAGATTCCATCAGAGATGGAAGAGCTGAGTCAGAGAGACCCTGTGCTAAGGAGTATGCAGTTTACACTCTGGGCACTGGAGAGCCACAGAAAGGTTTTAAATATGAAAATGACAGAATCAGGTTTCACTATGGAGGTCACACTGAGGCACTGAGGAAAGTGGCCCTCAGAAGGCCCAGGCAGGGAGGCCAAGTAAGGGTTTTTCCAATGGCATCAAACTAGAGGTGAATGGGGGACTAGAAACAAGGCACAGGGGCTGGAGAAAAAAGAAAACAGATTTAATAAATATTAAAAACAGGCAGCTTTGGGGAGTGGACGATGGAAGAGTCTAGGATGACTGCTGATGTGATTAGCTGAGAAAAAGAGGAAATGTTCTGAGAGCGGAGAAAGTGATTGACAGGAAACTCAAGGAGGCATTTCAAAAATGTTTCTGGGTGCTGGCAGGAGACGAGGACACTCCTGTGGTCATAAAAGAGGCATTCACTGTGCACAACCTTTAGGGTTGGTGCTGTAACATCAGTTTTACAAAGACGGTCTATCAGACAAGCATGCTTTTTATTTTTCTTCTGGAAAATGGAGCTGCCAGAAGAGGCTGGCTGAGCTCGTGAGAACCAGAGGGGGGATTTAACAAAGGCTCCTATTATATTTGGAGACAGAAATACTTTTCTGAGTTCCAGTTTCAAATGACTCACTGTTGAAATCTGCCTGACTTCAAACCACTTGAGGATCCCAGGAAAGGTGTACCCAGTCGTATACGTGGTCCTTTCAATCCACATCGTCTGGTGGAAAGAAGAAGAGGAAATGTTGGTCAACTCCCAGGCGTTTAGAAGAGCAAAACTCCCTGGTTCCATTAAATGAGATTCCATTCTCAAATGCCTCCTTAGAGAAAAGGCCATATTTTCTCTAAAAAAGGACTCATTCTGGATGTTAAAAGCTGCAAGGGTCCTCTCTCTGGGCCCTCTCACCCTCTGGATGGGAAGTTTGGAGGTCCAGAGAGGGGTGACTGCTCACAGTCATAGAGGTGGCAGGCTCAGGAGTACAGCCCAGTTTCTGGACTCCTGGTCTAGTTTTCTACTTAGATGACAGCCTGCTGTCCTGGCAATAAGCACACGAAGCCTCTATCCCCGGCCGACATCATTTCTGCGGGATGAGCTGGTTAGCTGGAAGGCGGCTATTTTGGATGTCAATTCTACCTTTCTCTAGAGGCCTAAGGGCAGAACTCACAGCAAATTCGTTGTCCGGATCCTTTTCTCCTTTCCGGAATGGCCGCGAATATTGGAACTGCTGCACTTCGTTGGCTCTGTAGTAGCTGGGGAAAGAGACAGCCATGACGTCATAGCTCTTAGAAAAAGCTCTCCGTGATCTGACTGCAACAAAGCCTGGGGAAATGAGACATCTTCCGCACACGAGTCTTATCCACTGAGCTCTCAAAGCCAACAGTCTCTGCAGTGAGGGCTGATGTTAGCGCAATTTGATTTTACTGTACACCTTACATTTATTACTTATGAATCTGCTTCACAGCTCACAATTTAAAAAGGTATGTATTTATGGCCACGTTTGTAATCTCATCTGTATAGCTTTGTAACAGTTCCATCCATCCTGCTAGTGTTTTAGCTTCTCAGAAGGGATTAGACCAGGGGTGGGCAAACTTTTTGACTCGAGGGCCACAATGGGTTCTTAAACTGGACCGGAGGGCCGGAACAAAAGCATGGATGGAGTGTTTGTGTGAACTAATATAAATTCAAAGTAAACATCATTACATAAAAGGGTACGGGTTTTTTTTTTTTTTTTTTAGTTTTATCCATTTCAAACGGGCCGTATCCAGCCCGCGGGCCGTAGTTTGCCCACGGCTGCCCTAGAG